CCAAGTCTGATCTGATCTGGTTTAGTCTGGGACTGGAAACAGTCCAAGTAAAAACATCCTTAGGAGTTAGGACTCAAGGCCGTTATAGATGGATATAGTGTTAGTATCCAATTTTGATAGATTTCGATGATGTCACTATACTTCGCACTTGTACATTGTGTCTTATTTAATTCGAATATTAGTGTTCAAGTTTAAATTATGAAGTGACAAATAAATGTACAATTTTTTAGACTAATAAAAATATTACCGGAAAAGTCAAAAAGCAATAAGGTAATTTTTATTTACCTTGATAGGTTATTTAGATCCTACCGACAAATATTTTGTTTGACTCAAAGATTAATTAAATGTCACAAACTTAAAAAGGATCGAAAATCATATACATTGAATGTGTATGATTGGAGACAAAACTTGACCTACAGTTAATGCTAAAATAGTACTGGGGTCCAGAGCATTAAAACGCACACATGGGACTATTTTCTGAAGAGATGCTTCAGCGGCTCAGATACTCAAGACAAAGAGATCGTCCCAATAAATGCTCCAGCACAAGAAGACAAATGTACAATTCGTCCTCGCCAGATTTTCAATGTCAGAGATTAAATCATCCTAACCAACGGATGAGATTAATCCACATGAGAAGCCTATAAATATAGGCTGAAACGAAAGTTTCTAACCAAGCTTTGAGCATTCACGAGATATCTAGCAAAAAGGAAAGTGTGAAACTATACTTTACTCTCTGCTTGGACTCATGCTTCACTAAACTTCGAAGTTACAAATATTCATTGATAAATCCTAGAAGTTTAGTTCCTAGTTGGAGGTTAGAACTTTCTTGTAAAAAAATCAAAAATTGTTGTAAACATTTAGGAGAACAGTTGTTCGGATCCTAAAGTGTGGTTAGATAGATAGAGTACCTTTTGATCCCCACTGGATCATTTGAGAAAAGTTTAAGGACTGAGTAACTTTGAGTGGTGTTATACTCATTGTGAAAAACCTTCAACCTAGGCCTAAGTGTTGTAAAGGCCAGATTGGCACTAAGTGTATTGGACTTAATACTTTAGTAGAAATCCATCTGAAAGAGGGTGGGACTGGACGTAGGAGGATTACACCACCTCTGAACCAGGATATATTGTGTGTTGATTTATTTTCAGTCAACAAAGCACACACCAAACACTTCTCATAAAAGATTGTAGTTTGCCACCAACATCCTAAGCAGTAGTCTTAATTGACCCTGCTGCTTATCCTACTGCTTAATAACTCACTCTCTTTGAGACAATCTTTCCGCAAGAGTCTTGCACAATCACCACTAAAAGGTCTGTTCCATCAGATCTCAGGAAATCATCTTAAAAGCATAGCAGTTGCCTCAGCAGTCCCCTGGTGTCTACCCAACTGCTGATCCCACTGCTCATACAAACTTATTTCCTTTAAACATCTTAACTTCACCAGACCTTCACAACACTATCACCAAAGAGTCTGTTCAAACTGATTTGTGAAACTCAAGCTGTAACCCAGCAGGTGCCTCAGCAGTTTCCTCATTGCCACCCAACTGCCGAGACCACTGCTCCAGTAAAACTCACAGTTACTTGTACTAAAACACATCTTCAGAAAGCTCTCATCACCCTGAGCAATATTATATAATCAGTCTTTCCATATCATCATTTTCACTTAAGCAGGTACCTCAGCAGTTCCCTGGTTACTACCCAACTGCTGAGACCACTATTCTCATTAAGATTGATTATCAACCCACCTCATTACATCATCATAAAGCCCTTCTCACTCTAAGAAAGATTCTGAGTGCACTTTCACCATACACTCAGTACTTCACTAACAGTTGTCTCAGCAGTTCCCTGCTTTCTAGTCAACTGTCAAGTTAACTGCTCACCATATAAAGCCCAAACTTCATCCATCGTAGAAAGTTGTTATATACTATTTATCTAAGATATTAAAGACTTCTGTTGTGCATCTATAAATCTCCCTAAAGATTTTAGATCAACTCATCTAGAAGGGAAAAATTTTCAAAGTTGAAAAAGATTTAAAAGTCTATTCACCCTCTTCTAGACTCTTACCTCTATCCAGGACCATCATATAGAGAGGGGAGAAATAAATTGGTCATTTTTAGATCTCATTAATATATCCAATTATGTCTGGTGTTATACCATTGGACCAAAAAATTGAGTTCACTGCCTAAGCTTTTAGTTTTTTTAGTAAGGACTTGAGTTCACTTCCTAAGCTGTCTTTTTTACTAATGACTGTATAATGTAATTAGGTATTTCATAATATGTTCATATGATGTGCTATTCAGGAACATTTTGGGGATCTTAATGCAGCCATTAATGCTCATTCTAGTGAAGGAGATAGAAACATGTTAGTGCATTTCTTCCTCTCATATCTGTCATTTTTATGGCAATGCCACTTCTCTCATGAATTCTTCATTTTCTTCTTTCAAATGAAGAATGATATATTCCAATTCTAATATGTGTTGTATTGGACATGTGTATTTATGTACTTGGTATTTGTCAAGCAGAAGACATGATGAACCTGTATCTGTTGCCCCTCCTCTTGAAGATGGTTTTCCGGATTGCATCCATCTCCACTCTCCGGAAAACAGTATTGGAGGTGCGTCCAGTGATGGAGAACACCAAACCAGACTCAAATCGTTGAAACAATCGTCAAATTCGAAACGCAAATCCAAACTCAAATACGAAGTGAACAGTAAAATTCGCTGTAAAGAGCTCGCTTTCTGAGTTTTTGGCCGTTTATCTTCCTTCCAATTTCAAATCGAAGGTCTGAAATGGGTCAAGGAACAATTTCCGACCAATAAACAGAACAAATCGGACTCAGAACATACAAATCCAAACAACGGTAAACCCCATATAAACTTAAAAAAAATTCAAAAAAATAATAATAAATTGGCCCGAACCGGCCGGGCCGGTTCACCTTTTGAAGGGCCCGAGCCCGAACCCGAACCGCCATCCCACTGGGCCGGGTGGCCCGAACCGGGCAACCAGCCGGTCCGGGCCCGCACAATAGCGGGCCGGTCCGGTTCCGGGCCGGTTGGTCCGACCCGAGTCCACTCGTATTCGCAGTTTGAAGGAAGAGACTTAACTCAAAATTTAGTTAATGCAATCAAATAGCTAGATAACACGTCAATACATGTTTGTATTTATGGTGCTAACATTTTCACTTATCATTATGGAGACAAATCTGAGGGGCCAAAAATCCTACACCTACATTACGACATACTCCGTATATGTGTAGCTGAGTAAGTGCAATCACTAACAACGCAAAAGCCAATTATGATACAACTTAATTAGGGACCAAAATCCCCCACACCATCCACGCTTTTAAGACCAATATATTAGGGGAACGGAGAAGATGATTTATTTGGCTCTCCGCTCTCTTGTAGATAAAATTCCGGGTTCGGCATCCTCAGAACCACTAGCGAAAGGGGGATCTTCAGCCACATTCTCCATGGCGGCACTAGTGCCCGCTGTATCACCAACATGGGTGTTAATCTCAGAATCCCGAGACGACTCAATAATTTAGGGGTCAGAAGAATTAGGATGTTTTTACTTGGACTGTAATTTGTTGGTCTGATCTGGTCTGATCTGGTCTGGTATGAACTGGTCTTGTCTGGTCTGGTTTCTTTGTATTTTTATAACTATCCAAGTCTGGTCTGGTCTGGTCTGAACTGGCCTGGTCTGGTCTGGTCTGGTCTGGTCTGGGACGAATTACAGTCCAAGTAAAAACATCCTTAGAGCTTATTGACATTTGTGCCGAACTGGAAGAAAAAGCAGAAAGCAAAGGATGATTACCTGATGAGCGAGCCTGGGAAATTAGGGATTTGGGAAGAAGGCAGAGCGCTTGAACGAAGATGCAAAAATCGGAAACCCGGGGCCAAGGTCCCAAAGACACACTTATAACTTAAAAGCGCCGATTCGTGGATCAATCCCAGGGGGACACGTCACGAAGAGCATTCCCAGGGACACGTGTCGCACGGAGACAAAACATTAGGTAATCATGACGGTTACATAGGGAATGCAAGCAACAGCCGCCAAAGAACTTCGAACCGTCACGTCAGGGGCGGCGAGGCACTAGCCAAGAACACCGTATGGGGTCACACCGAACGGTGGAAAGATTACTTTTCTACTTCTTTATGTCCCGAGCACGCTCGAAACATCGGAAGTGGGGGACTTATGATGGGATATTAAGGTCCGGCCCAATACGGCGGCCTAAAATATGCCTGAGGCCCAGACACAACGGAAGGTCCAGGGAAAATCATTAGGCCCGAACGGCAAGCCCCGTCCGGCACATCCCGAACGGGGTATAATTAGCACTTGGGTAATTAGTTTATTCCCTGATTGATGACTTAGCTGGGCTTAATCCTGAACGAGAGTTGCTCAAGTGACCGACTGCACTTAATGCTGGATCATGGAGGCCTCAAGTGGCATGGGAGGCAACCAATCATATTAGAGCACCCCATACCCTCCTCATACCTCCATCTAGTATAAATAGCAGCATTTAATTCATTGTAAGGTTTATCATTTATTTACTCACAAGCTTATATTGCATTCTAGCTCTTGTATTAGCCTTTGAACCGTAACTACCATTCGGCCATTTCTGTGTAATCGTTATTACTGCGTTAATACAAGCAAGATTGTTTGCGTGAATCTATCAGTTTTTATATTTCTTTCATACACATTACTGTTGCAATCCAACCCTAGATCCAAGGTTAGTGTTGGACATTCAGGTGATTCGGGACTTAACCTCAACAATGTTAAATCAACAAAATCAGTCAATGCAATCACTTCAACCAAAATTTCATAAATTTCAGCAGAATAAACTGAATCAACTGAATGGATTGATTTTAGTGTTATCAAACGGGTCATAAAATCAGATTAGTCGATCCAAAAAGTACTCCATACTCCGTATGAGTGTATGACTAATGACTGGTTTAGAATTGACATATTGACATTTCAGGGGCGGCATTAGAGAACTTCAATATCCGAGGGCCGTTTCTCATATTACCCTAAAATTGTTTGCTACAAAATTTTGAAGATTTCAAACCGACACCTTCGCCGCCGTCGCAACGGTTCACCTAAAGGTGGCGCTGCTCGCATTTTCCACTACGGACGGTTATTTGCGGTTTTTGTAGCGTCTCTCTTATCGTTCATACTACGTATTTTACACTATCAACTAAAGGTAGTGATTTTCTGTCGATTCCTTTTCAATCCCAGTTGTTTGAATACTTTCGTATTAGGAATTCCCGATACTATCATCACTTCCATGAATTTTGGGGATTTGTGAATTGTTTGATGAAGCTTAGATGACCTTCAAAATTATGAGATACGCTATTCAATTACATTGCATATCGTAGATGGTGTTTTTACTTGTTCCTGCTTCCCTTTTAAACAATTTTTAAGTTGTTAGATCCAAATTCACAACTCTTTTTCATCGGATTGACCTGAACTCTGAAGTAGTGGAGTAGTAAGTGGAATCGATTTTGAAGTTAACTTTTTTAACAGATTAAACTAAAGAATGACATCGTCACAATTTATTAAAGTTTATCCTTTTTGTTTCGGCTGTGAGGAAATGGACTTAATGATTCAATTGTATGTATTTACGTTAGATTGCACAAAGTACACCGAGGAATCCTGCAACCGTGTAAACTTTCAATGATGCTATATTTTGCTTTTCATTGAAATTGAGGATAGGGTTTGCTAAAATAAAATGATGATGTAATTATTATTTTGAAATACCTATTCTGAAATTGGTAATAATAATTATTTGACTAGGTATTACGTGTTGCAGTTTATCTTGTTTCAGGGATTCAACATGATTGGCTCTTTACTCACCAGAGTATTCGTGTACGTACCATTATAAGAATTTAATTGTCATGTAGGTTGTGCTTAAAGGTTGCAGAAACTGTATATTATTAATTTACTGTGTTTGTTTTAATTAAAGGTTGATATTTGGTTATGCCTATCCTGCTTATGAGTGCTTCAAAAGTGTAGAAATGAATAAGCCAGATATTCAACAACTTAGGTTTTGGTGCCAATACTGGTAATTTTGTATTGTGTTTATTGAAACCTCTAAGTGTACTTCTACCTGGAGTCCTTGACTCAAGTATCAGCACTAACCCCTACCTGCCAAATTTGCAGGATCATAGTTGCAATAATGGCAGTTTCTGAAAAGATTGGTGATGCCTTTATTTCCTGGTAATCATGCTTTATGTACTCTCATATCACTATAACTTTATTTTTCATTTGCACATTCTTTTTCAATATTTTGAATGTTCTCCTTTTGAAGGATTCCAATGTACAGTGAAGCGAAGTTGGCATTCTACATATATTTGTGGTTTCCAAAAACTAAGGTTAAATGCTCTCTCTGTATGATCTAGCTCTCATGCGTGGTTGTCATACTTTATTTCCGTTGCTCTAATTATGTCTGTGTATCATTTAGGGAACAACATATGTATATGATTCGTTCTTCAGACCATTGGTTCTAAAGCACGAGAATGAAATTGACGATAACCTGTTGAAGTTGAGGGTTAAAGCTGGAGATATTGCAGTTACATATTGGCAAAAGGCTGCCAGTTATAGTCAGACCAGAATGTTTGAAATCCTGCAATTTATTGCTTCACAATCAATTTCATTCGGATCATCTGCACCCACTCAGGTATGTACTTAGACATTAAATTAAATAACTAATGATATTCTTGCTAAATAATAATTTCTATTATACCCAAAATCTTTTGAGAATAAGGCTTGAATGTTGTTGTATAATAATTTCTATTATACCTGCATCATCAATGAAAATATATGTTCACAATTCCATCCTAATGGCATTAGGGTTGGGAGTTCGGCTCAGTCTGACTAAACCGAATTGAATTGACCCCAACCAAAGTTGTACCATATGAAGGAAGTCTGGTTTAAATTTGATAATGGTTTTTCTTGACCTTATTAGTGTTAGCCAAATAAAGAAGCATAACTAAAACCCAATATAAAAAAGACCCAAACCAAAATGTAGCAAGTCTATACTTGGTTTTAATTTGGCAGTTCTCTGTTCAACATTTCTTAAACCAATCCTAACTGGCCAAATCATCAAACCAAAACAAATATATTTCCCCTAGTAGTCTGACATTAATTTATGTCTAACATTTTTTACAGCCACAAAGGCAAGCCAGCACTAGTGCCCCACAAATTCAGACACCAATAGAAGTAACAACAAAGCCAGTGAATGTGAATGAAGAGAAGCCTCCTCCTGTTTCCAATGAAACTCCAATTGAGCATGAAAAAGATACAGCAGAGGGGCCCGTGACTATACAATCACAACCGGCTGCTCCACCTGCTTCTTCAAATGCCAAAAAAGCAACCCTAAAGGAACTCATCCTTACAGAGACATCAGTGAAGGCTCCAAGCTCCAGTGAACCCCAAGTGGTATCTGTAAAGACCACTGCAATGGAAACACTCATTGAAGAAGTTGAGAAAGGCACTCGTCGTGCTAGGTCCCGCAAAAACCGTACTGCTTTGGCCCAATGATCATACCCAAGCTTTTAAATCAACATGCTAAAAAGATGTACATTTTTTGTTTTTATATGTATACTTTTAGTAGACAGTTTTATTCAAGAACTTAATCAAGAAACTGAACACATAGATCTGCAGGATAATTAAATCCTCAAATTCTTGCTTGTACATTTATATAGTGCATGCTGCGTTATATAATAATGCAGTCAGGATTTGGGAATTTGACCATGTTGTCACTTTAGTTGGAAAATGTGAAAATCAATGACCACAAGATGTACTCTTATTTACTTCATACTACTTAGCTCTCTTCCTGGAGAAAAAACCTTTAATGGCCATAAGTGGAATAAGTGGTTTCTTCTTCGTCTTGAGGGAAGGGTGTCTTTCCAGCACAATGTCATCAGCTGATGGTGGGGCCATGACATGATGACGGTGTGAAAAAGATACATATCTTTTATTCTGAAACTCCAGTATGGTGTCATGACTTGTGATTTCTACTGGTCTAAGCTTTGTGGTGTCCTCTATGAATTTAAGGTCCTCATCAACTTCAGATTCCTGTTGTGGCTCCTTGGTATCCTGGCAGTGTTTGAGGTTTTGGAGCTCTGTCTTCGCTCTTTGCAGTTCTTCCTGCAAAGATGAGAGGCAGGTAACCATTACCAAGCTTTCTTCCCTTGCTTTTCGCAGGCTTTGCTTCGTCTCCTCGAGCTCTGCCTCTATGCTGCTGATGAGTGTCTGTGGGTCCCTGTTGTACCTGTCTTGCTTCTGCTGCATTTATATAGATATGCTCAGTATAACAAATTTATTCAACAATATTTCACTATTTTTTAAAACAAAAGTAGCAAGACAGGCCTAAATAATACAAACAGAAATTGCATATAAAACCTTTTAGGATAACAATGTTACCAATGGTCCAATTATCTTTTACCAATGGAAAGAGATGGTTAGTAACATTTAAATAGTACTCCTTTCATTTCATTTAATCCATCAAACTTTTCTTTTTAAGTTGCCCCAGCTAGGTGTCACATTTCATTTTTAGAAAGAAATATGAGGTCTATAACATTTTATTTTGTTATACTTAAATCTTAATCATAACTTATACTTTTTAAATCACTTTATTAATACTTGTGTCAAACAAAAGTAGGATATATACAATGGGACGGAGGTAGTACTTCGTATGTTATATGATCACACATCATGCTTATTAGCAATAACATTTACTAATCTACCACAATTTACCACAAGCTTACTAAACCAAGCTTTAAATATTATGATATGGAGTAGTACTTTAGAAAGTTGGTTCATACGGTCATAGTAATAAGTTGGAAAGCAATTTGACTACACACACATTATAAAATTTGGTTCAAATGAGAAAATGATTTTATGAGAGAAACGAGAATGAATTTGGACAGTTGGATTGCATTATGTGAATTGAATGTGAATTAGGTGAAACTAAAATGTTCAAATTGAAATGCGGAGTACAAATGATATGACACAGAGACATCATGTGAAACTGAATTACGAATTAGGTGGAACTTAAATGTACATCAAGTGAATTGGTTGAATTATACATATAAAGTCTTGAAGAAGAAACAATACATAGGCATACCCGCCGGAGGTGAAGGTTGGTATTGGCATTGACTTGACGAGCGAGAAGCGTGTCGCCGAAGAGCAACACAGCTTCCTTGACTGACCGGAATGGGGCGCTTGTGTCAATCTCCGCCTCTGTTCTCACCATTCTTAATCCGCCCGTTTCCATACACGGATTTTTATATAAAATTATGTGAAAGAAGAAATGGGTGATAATCCAATTCAACCTATAATATATACTGCAAAGAAGGCAGGAAGTTAGTTGGAGTACGTAGTGGCTTCCTTCAGTTGGGTGAGAAGTAATGGTGGTGGCCAGGAAGCTTGGCTAAAAGCAGAGAAGAGACTAGAGAGCAAAAAGGGGCCGGCTTGGAAGGAGGGAAGAATTGAATTCGTTTCTTGGCTTCCACTTCACTATTTTGTTCTGCTCTACAACATGCATGAGAGTATACTCCAATCAGTTTTGCTCACCGATCTGTTTTTATTTTTATTGTAGGTGAAGCTGTTAGAGGCTCGTTTGGAAACGCAGTGTTAACGAAGTATATGTTGACACTTTACCGGTCAGCACAACCAATTTGGACTTAACTCACTTAATAAGTACTTAATTGCTTTGACCAGCCATGTGTTTGGTCAAATTCGCATGAGTATTGATTATATAATCTCCACATCCTATTAAAAGTTTCAAATCCGTTATGTGGGCCCTACATGACTCAAGCATCGATTTCTACAAAAATAGATGGAGTATAATACGGAGTATTTTTTATTAGTACATCTACGTATTCAGAAACTATGTATCAAGTTCTACTAAATCATATCATCATCATTACCTCGGTGCGTAAAGGTTTCCACGTATGATGGAGTAGGGAGGGTTGGATGTACGTTGCCTTACCCATGTACTAATGCAGAGAGAGAATGTCTCCACATGATCCAAGGTGAAAATCGCGTAAAAAATGGCATGGATTGATTGATGCTTCATAACAAAGAAGCGCAGACAATTTAATTAATCATTTTACATTTTCTCATTATATTCTCAAGTCAAAAATAGTAAATCTTTGACTCCATTGCAAATGATGCAAATCAAATAACAAACAAAAAGTTCTACTGGATCACAAAATTGAAAATACTCAAACAAATTAGATTCTCCCTCTGTCACTTATAACTTTTGCTATTTTTCTTTCTTGATTGTCCAAAAAAAATCACCAATTTACCTTTTAATCAATTAATATGTGATTTCTATTTTTATCTCCATACAAATTTCATTCAATGACAGGGTTTTGCTCTATGCCTCTATGGAACTATGAGTATAAATATTGTGTGCAACCGAAGGCAAATTATACCGTGAGATCGGTCCACCATGGTTGTGTTGATCCCAAATTTATTAATTCAAAATGAAAGCAACTCGATTGAAACAGAGAAGACGCGAGTTCCAATCTTGCGATCGTCGTTTGGAGTTGAAAGGTCACCGTCCCTCGGGACCTTCTTTGCCCGTATTGATGCGCCGTCACAGATCCACTCCAATCACCCCTGTTCGTACCTATCCCGCCCTTGGTGTTTGTCTGCCACTCATCTTGCCCAACAAAAGTGAAAAACTTCCCACCAATTAAATTCATACATACACATAGAGTATTTAAAGAGAAACAAAGAAGCAAATTTTATATATGGAGTGTGTACATATCACACACACACACACACACCCACACACACACACACACACACACACACACACACACACACACACACACACACATATATATATATATATATATATATATACTCCCTCCGTTTCACAATCTTTGCCACACTTTTCTTTTTTGGTTGTTTCAAAATATTTGCCACACTTCTATTTAAGGAAAGTTTTAACCTGCAAATTACCACCCTACCCTCCAATTAAAACACCCATCCGCCCCATTTATTCCTCACCCGTTTACTCTTCCCCATCAACCGCACGACATTTACTCCTCAGCCCATTTATCTTCCCAATCAACCGCATCCCATTTACTCCTCAGTCCCATTCCTCTTCCCAATCAACCGTCCCATTTTTTCTTCTCGTTTATCTGCTCCACCTCTACGCTGCTACTCATCTACCATTTCTCTTCCAAAGCAACCCCTTCCCAGTCCTCAACCCCATTTCTCTTCTCGTTTATCTTCCCATCCGCTGCTACCCATGGACCCCTTCTCTTCGAACCATTTACCTGTGTCTCTGGCAGAAGTAAAATGCCCTCCTCCACAATTAAACATGCAAGAGGAAAAAGGCTTAGATCAGATATTGGAAAACGCCCCTGTGCCTTTAGATCCATTGCAAGTGGAGCCTGTGCCTATACATCCATTGCATGTGGAGGTTGTGCCTTGCTTTCGTCCATGGAGACTTCATTTTGGGGATTCTAGTGAGGATGAGACAGATCCAAATTCGGCTATTCGAAAAAAATATGGGGACAACCTTGTGTCCGACACATACGAAGGGCTAGATGGGTCGGTGGAAGATGGAGAGGAGGTGAGTTTGGCAGCGGCGGATGCAGGTGAGGAGCTGACATGTTCAGAGGAAGAGGCCGAGCGGGAGGAACATTATACACGCCACTTCTCAGAGAAGTAGCTTGTACTCCTTACTTCTCGGTAATTTGACTATATACTCATGTTAATTGAGTTCTGGGAAACTAATGATGTTATGGGGTTTGAGTTCATGTTGTCTGAATTTGTTAAGCTTGTGTTTAGCAGTGATGCCACCCAATTTACATAATTGTAGGAGGCTCTTTTTCTATTCACTGATTTTCTGGAAAGTAAAGAACAATTTACATAACTGGGCTTGAGTTCATGGTGTCTGAATTTGTTAAGCTTCTGTTTAGCAATGATGCCACCCAATTTACATAATTGTAGGAGGCTCTTTTGCTATTCACTGATTTTCTGGAAAGTAAAGAACAATTTACATAACTGGGTTTGAGTTCATTGTGTCTGAATTTGTTAAGCTTGTGTTTAGCAGTGATGCCACCCAATTTACATAATTGTAGGAGGCTCTTTTGCTATTCACTGATTTTCTGGAAAGTAAAGAACAATTTACATAACTGGGCTTGAGTTCATTGTGTCTGAATTTGTTAAGCTTGTGTTTAGCAGTGATGCCACCCAATTTACATAATTGTAGGAGGCTCTTTTGCTATTCACTGATTTTCTGGAAAGTAAAAAACAATTTACATAACTGGGCTTGAGTTCATGGTGTCTGAATTTGTTAAGCTTGTGTTTAGCAGTGATGCCACCAAATTTACATAATTGTAGGAGGCTCTTTTGCTATTCACTGATTTTATGGAAAGTAAAGAACAATTTACATAACTGGGCTTGAGTTCATGGTGTCTGAATTTGTTAAGCTTTTGTTTAGCAGTGATGCCACCCAATTTACATAATTGTAGGAGGCTCTTTTGCTATTCACTGATTTTCTGGAAAGTAAAGAACAATTTACATAACTGGGCTTGAGTTCATGGTGTCTGAATTTGTTAAGCTTGTGTTTAGCAGTGATGCCACCCAATTTACATAATTGTAGGAGGCTCTTTTGCTACTCACTTATTTTCTGGAAACAATTGAATAGTGAAAACATAAGTGCTCTTGTGCATTGCAAAATGAGTACCTGCCATTTAAATAACTTTGAATTTGGGCTTACAAAAAATCGTACAACTTGTACATGGCAGTACTTCAATACTTGTACTTCCATACCAGTGTACATACAAATAGCATAAATAAGCATTAAACCTGTTATAACAGTTCATATTTGAAGAACCTGTCTATTCTTCATTCATGAACTGTTATGATGTTTGACCTGCATTGGTAGTTGCCAGTTGTCCAGTGTAGTATGCCCTAGCTGTTTCATACAGTTCTGCACTAATTTGGACATTTCTTGGTAATTGCCCCTGCTTCTCCAATATGTCTTTGCCTATATGGCTCAGTTTGAAATTGTTGCCTCCCATGTTCTGCAGTATTCCTTCCATTACACATTGGAAGCTTAAAAAAACTTTGTTCAATGTCCTTGGTGTAAGTTCATTGAATGAAGTTTGTACAACTTCAATTAAACCTGTAATATTCTTTGGCCCTTTTTGATCTTTGATTGAATCAATTGCTCTAAAGAACCCCAGGTCCAGAACATTCAAGTCTGGACTATTGGAGGTTGGCATTTCAATTCAATGTTCCAACCTTCCTTGGTTGCAATCTGTATAAATTCTGGATCATTAAGCAGTAAGTGAGGTCTGGCATTGTCTTGTTGTATTATAACATGTCTGCTTCCACTTTCTGGCCACTTCTCTTTTATTGCTGGAATAACTTTGTTTAGCATCATGTCTTTTATCAGAGTCCTGGTCACACTGCGTATTGGTTTTGTCTCAACTGTTCTAGCTGGTCTGTTTTTGCTAGACCTTTTGGCTGGGTCTTCATATGTGAATAGAAATATGCCTACTTTCCCATCCCACACAACCTCTCCATTATCTTTTATTCTGGGCCTACCAACAACAGCTAGGAACATTATCTTAGGAATGATTTTTTTTGATTGTGATGTTCTGTATGGATCCTCTTCTGTTGGAACAGTGTTGAATGTGGTTGTTTCTTTTGACAGATAAAACCACTTTTCATCAATATGTATGTGGTCATAGAAGTCATGAAAAGTAGGGCTTGTTGGTATGGAATCTGGAAGTATATGACTCAAGCAGTACTCTAACCTTTTCAACTTGCCAACATCTGAAAGCAATGGCTTGATAGCACTAGAATGCCTCTTGATTTCCTTTCTTTTAAACCATCTGCATACTGTAGAGGAGGAAACTTGCATGTGAATGCCCAAAGCTCTCATATTTTTCCTGTTATGCAATGGGATTTCTTTCATTTTATGACTGTCTAAAGAAATCCTTTTTCTGCCTACATTACCTTTCCAGTTGCTTTGCAAGTTCATGACCCCCCAGCATGTATTTGTTCTTTTGCTTTCTTCCAGATCCTGTGGACAGTTTGTCTACACACTTTGAACTCCTTGGATATTTCAATAATAACGCCCCTTTGAAGTTTCCCTGCACTTGCCATGCCTAACAACTTTTGTGCTATGCGATGTTTAGTTTTTTCTGGTATTCTAGGCCTCTTTTGCAATGATGTTTCTCCTCCCCCTAATTTTCTGGTTCAAACATTTGTGCAGGTGATATGGGGACGGGTTGATCTTCTGAAGGCGCGGCGAGAGGTGTCACTGGTTGATCTTCGGCGCATGCTTGATCATCCGGAGGATTTTCTACGAGCTGTGCTTCTTCCATTCTTGGTTTTTAGTGTTTTGTTTGTAATGAGAACTTCTATTTGTAGATGTAATCTGGAGGGAATTGTAATGTTTAGGAGGGAAATGTAATGTTTAGGAGGGAAATGTAATGTTATTTTAGGATGTAATATGAATTCAGAGTACTGTAGACGAATTGATGGTTCTACAGTACATGGATGAATTCAGTCAAGTATGCTGCGTGCTCTTTTTTTACCACGCC